CAAAAGTACGTGGAAGCTCTCGATGTTTTGAAGATTAAAAACTCAATGCCGGAGCAACCGCCGGTAGAACAGAAACATTCAAACGGGCATGGTAGCGCCGCCTCACCAGGCCACCCATTTCCTAAATCCAAACGGTCGGTTGGGCATTTTCCACCTATACCGGTGGCGCCTAAACAGCAACCACCTCCACAACCGCCGAGGAACTCAGGGGAGGTTGTGGTGACTACACAATGGGAGACTTTTGATTCGATGCCGACGGCAGCGCCACCGTCATCATCCAGCAATACAATACATCATCCCAAATTCAGCTGGGATTTACTTTAAATTAGTTTTTTTTTTTTTTTTTTTTAAAGAAAAGAATTATAGTATCTTTAATAGTGTGTGAATTGTGAAAGTGTTTCTTTTGATATGGCATCTATTGTCGTCTATTCTTTGCTGTACCTAGAGTTTTTATGTTTCTTTTTGGGGTCATTCCCTTTACAAATAAACGGGTATATCTCTTATATTATATAATAATAATAAATATAACTTTATGTTTCTATTATTGTTTTGTTTTTTGGGGGACAAAAAAATGTTATGTTTTATTAATTTTCATAAATAAATAAACGCGGATCAGTTAAAAAACATCATGTGAATGCATATATGAATACATGATTATGTTTAGGTACACTTTTTCCAGATAAAGAAATCAGTTGAATCTTAATTTACTTTTTTGAAAACTTGGATGCTAAGAATTTACAGAATAAGATTGACATGATTTAAGGTAAAGATAGGTTAACTTGGATAAGAAACTTGATAGGTGTTCCATCCCCTCATTTTATTAAAAAATAATCATTACCCATTTGTAGAATTTGATTATACTATATTATGATTAATCAACAACTTTTCTTGTTTTGGTTGGTTGAAGATTATGCGTGGACATCTATGGCACGTACACTGAGATAATGAAAGATTTCTACCTTGACTTTACTACATTGGGCTCGATAATGGAGATATGTTGACAGGTGGTATTCAATGATGCTGTGTAGTTTACTATCATATACGGATGAATGAATGCCTTTAAAGTCTTTTGGAAGTTTTGAAGATTGTGGTCCGTTTTGTCATAATTCAAGGTTGTACTGAGCTTGTGGGAAAACAATTACTCTTTCTTCTTTATACTTACAAGGAAGGCAATGCTACCTTCAATTTGGAAAGTTACCTTCCACATGCACTCTTGCTTTAGATGTACACCGACATATCATCTCTCACAGATGTCATCAAGATGTTATTTTTCCAACAACCTTTGAGATGCTATCAAGATGCACACTTGCTTTAGATGTTGATTATGAATTACATAAATTTCCATGGAAAAATCCGAAACCGGGGAAAACCCATGGGAATCCTAAGAGAAAAATTCACTATATGATAAATTATTACAATGACGATACATCATTATCTCCAAAAGGCTGTCTCATTAGGTGTAGCAACCATGTAAGTGGTTATTTCATTCTACAAGGAAGGTAGAAAACTTTTAGAGAGACCAAATCAAATGCGTTGCTAATTCATTAGTAGTGCTTTGGCATCTTGCACATGGAAAGCTGCTAAGGAATGGGAAGAATATGACATTTCTACAACCCTCACCAAATGATACTTTATAGCCAAGGCTTTGCATATAGGGGTTTGCAAAGATCTTGAAAATCACTTAAATAGAGTAGAAGGCAAGAATTTGAGGAAGATATGAAGGAAAAGCACTAGGGATTTCAAGAATTTCTGTAAATCCTTTGTGTGGTGTGGTTTTGATACCTATGGACACAAAACCGCAAAAGAAACAATAAAATATTAATGAATAGTGAATTCATTTATTTTAAAAACGTATAATTAGTATATTTGAATTTTAAATTTTTGAATAACATAACATAATAAAATTAAAATTTTTATATGATGTATTTTATATAAGGTAAATGATTTATATAGTTTGTTTTCTATAAATAAATTAACAGCATAAGTTAATTTAGTTGTATAATTTATTCTATTAAAGTAATTTGTTTTCTTTAGAAGTCTAGCAAAATCGTACATTATGTCATGTAAAAATAGTTAGCAAAAAGTCATTATTGTTATGTCTAAATATAAATGTATCAAAATTAGACATATATATATATATATATATATATATATATATATATATATATATATATATATATATATATATATATATATTATTTTTAATGTTTGGTTTGCATTGAAAAAAGATTTGATTCTAAAGAATCAAACAACCATTTTAATTTATTTTATGTCATGATTAGAAAAATTGCCTTAGGATTCATGTTCGGAATCTCATTAAAAGAGTAATTGTTTTTAAAAACAAACATCTTAAATCTTAAAAAAGGTATATACTCTCAACCTCACACAGGCCCACAAAACCATGATAATTTATAAGGGTTAATACCTTAAAAACCATTATTTATACATATCCGTTTCGATTTAACCCTATCATTTTTATTTGTTACTTATTTGCCACCGTTAATGAAATGACGTTCCATTTATTACACCTTACCCGGTTAAAAACCGGTAATCACCTCCTTGCCGGTTGCATCTCTTCACTTGATTACTAATTCTTGGGAACGTGCATAGTAGCCACCACCTTTGTCCCTCATGTCTGACTAACAAAGGGGTATCCCGATAACATCATCGTCAAAAGAGGGTTTTGCAAGAGGGTTTTGAAAGAGGGTTTCTGAAGGTTTTCAAGGGTTCGATGGCAGAATCATCACGGAGAATGAAAAGTAAAGAATCAAAGGCGACAAAGAAGACAAAGTTGAGATACGTACGTGATGAAGAAGAGTCTGATGATGATCGTCTTGACTTAGGATTGTTGGATGTTGAACCAGATAACTTCAATCCTACATCTAACTTGTGTGACGACCCTTTTCTTAACATTTTATGTGATGATAAAATGTTAAAGAATAATCAGTTTGAAGGGGACGATGAAGCTGATGTTGAAGACATTCACCAGGAAGAGCTTGAGCATGAACACCTTGAAGATGAAAATGGCTTGGAAGTGGGTGTCGAGTTCAGGGTGCACGATCCTACCGTCAAGTGGAACCAAATGAAGCCTACAGTTGGTGAGTTATATGAGTCTCCTGCTCAGTTAAGGTTTGCACTCACTAACTATGCTGTAGCTAATGGATACCAACTTTGGTTCATGAAAAGTGATAAAAGCAGGGTAATTGTTAGGTGTGGGAAAAAAATGCAAAAAAACCATGTCCTTTTAGGATCCATGCTTCGTGGAAGTATAATGAACGTACTTTTCAGATAAAATCTATGGTTGAAACACATCTTTGTGCAAGGAATTATAATTTTGGACATTTGGTTAGTTGTAATTGGTTAGCAAAACACTACATTAAGGACATAATTAGGAAGCCCAAAATGACACTACCTGAGATGATGGAGGATGTCCTTACAAAATATTCAGTGAAAGTGTCAAAGGGGCAATGTCATAGAGCAAGGGTAAGGGCAAGGGAGATGATAGAAGGTAAACTGGAGGAACACTATGCTAAGATATGGGATTATGCCAACGAAATCCTTAGATCTAACCCTGGAAGTACATGCAAAGTAGGAGTTTCTGTAAATCCAGATGGGGTGAATTATTTTGAACGTTTTTATGTATGTTTTAAGGCATTGAAAGATGGATGGAATACAGGGTGCAGACGTGTGATTGGCTTAGATGGATGTTTCCTAAAGGGACAAATCAAAGGGGAGATTTTGACTGCTATTGGAAGAGATGCTAACAACCACGTGTATCCAATTGCATGGGCTGTAGTAAATGTAGAGAACAAAGAAAATTGGACTTGGTTTTTACAGTTGTTGGTTGATGACTTGGGTGTTGAGGATGGAAGGGGTCTAGTTGTTATTTCAGATCAACACAAGGTAAACATAAATACTACAAATTTTTTTATGTATTCATTTATATTGTCTAACCCATATTAATGTTGAATTTACTTATTTCAGGGACTTCTAGAATCTGTGAAAGCTATCCTTCCACATGTTGAACACAGGCAGTGTGCACGACACATTTATGCCAACTTCAGGAAGAGGCATACAGGTTTAGAGTTGAAAAACTTATTCTGGGCTGCTGCAACTAGTTCACATGAAGGGGATTTTGTGTCTAACATGGAAAAAATTAAGAAAATCACTTCAAATGGATATGATTGGTTGATGTCTAAGAATCCACAATCATGGTGTAGGGCATTTTTTGGACTAGGGTATGCATGTGAGGCAGTGGAAAATGGGGTTTCTGAGTCCTTTAACTCCATGATCATAAATATTAGGAAAAAACCACTTCTCACAATGTTAGAGGAAATTAGAATCTATGTCATGTCTAGGTTTTATTATTTGGCTGATAAAGCTTCTACTTGGAGAACTGAATCGTGTCCAGCTATCATAGAGAAAATGAAGGAGTTTGGAAAAGAGATGAGGTAAATTCTTACATAAACTTGTTACTACTTACCATTAAATTGTGTTGTATAGTTAACATGAAATTGTTATTTTTAATTTGTATTTATAGGAACTGGAAAGTTATAGCAACTGGGGGGTCTGTATTTGAGACAAGGTATGGGTATACAGCTTACAAAGTGGATTTGGAACAACACTATTGCACATGTAGACTATGGGAGATATCTGGAATACCATGTGTGCATGGTCAAGCAGCAATAAACTACACTCACATGAATCCAACTGATTTTCTAAGCATTTGGTTCCAAAAAGAGAAATTTATGGCTGCATATACCACAAATATATCACCAGTGAATGGAAGCAACCTGTGGGCACCCACTGACTATATAAAGCCATTACCTCCTTTGACAAGGAGACTGCCTGGTAGGCCAAAAACCAAGAGAAGAAGGCATGTGTCTGAGGTCAATGATTCCAAGTTCCCAACTGTTAGAGCTAGAGTTTGTAGGACTGTTAGGTGTAGCAAATGTTTACAATTCGGCCATAACTTGAAATCCTGTAAGAATGAGCGAGTGATGAAGGAGTATGTGCCACCTAGAAAACCAGGAAGGCCAAGGAGGGGTGGAGAAGAAGATAAACAAAAGGCAGTTAAGCTTGTAGTGAAAAGAAAGAAGAAGATAAAGAAGGCTGGAGAAGGATCCTCAAACCAGGATGACCAAGGTGGGGTTGAAACTGCAAACGATGCAACTGTGCAAGAAGAAAATGGAACTGTACAGGAAACTGTACAGGAAACTGCACCCAAAATTGTGAATGATGGGAATGCTATTTCTGATGAAATTGATGTATTGTTGCAAAAATGTGGTTATGAACCTCATGAGATTGAACAGGCTATAGAAAACTTGGAAATGGTATGGAAACCTTTACTTTAAATTTCTTAAAACTAATATGTGATTTACATAAGGTAATTAACTAGATCATGTCTTACAGGGTGTAGATGCTAATGAGATTGAAGAGGTTGTTAATGAGATTGAAGAGAACTTGCTTGAAGAAAACTTGGAAATGGTATGGAAACCTTTACTTTAAATTTCTTAAAACTAATATGTGATTTACATAAGGTAATTAACTAGATCATGTCTTACAGGGTGTAGATGCTAATGAGATTGAAGATCACTTGGAAGCAGACTTAGAAGAGGATGTTAATGAGATTGAAGATAACTTGCTTGAAGAAAACTTGGAAATGGTATGGAAACCTTTACTTTAAATTTCTTAAAACTAATATGTGATTTACATAAGGTAATTAACTAGATCATGTCTTACAGGGTGTAGATGCTAATGCAGACTTAGAAGAGGATGTTAATGAGATTGAAGATAACTTGCTTGAAGAAAACTTAGAAATGGTATGCCAACCTTTACTTTAAATTTCTTAAAACTAATATGTGATTAACATAGGGTATTTAAATACATCATGTCTTACAGGGTGTAGATGTTAATGAGATTGTGCCACCAGTGCAAGAAGTCGCTATACAAGGTTTAGATGCTAATGCTTGGGTTGGTGAAGATGATGGGAATATTGACTTCATTGAAGATACACAAGTTGTTGGGAGGCCTAGGAAAAGGAAGATTTCTGAGAGAATTGTGAAAATCAAGCTGAAGAAAGCAGTTTATGATAAGGATGGAAGGGGTTCTAGTATTAAGAAACCAGTTAATTTGGAGTAGGACTATTTAGGAGGGGGTATCATGGGCACTATGTATTTTGCTTGCCCTTTTTGTTAACATTTCATCAGCTTTTGGTAACAACCATCCAATTGTATATCAGCATCTAGTAGTATTCAATTAGGCCTTTTTGAACATTGGTAGTTAATGGCCATTAAAACATTGTTGGGCAATTGGTTGTTTGGTACAGATTGTAATACCCCCTTTTATGTTATTATGAATGCAAGTATTTGAACTTAATGTCATTTCACTTGCTTACATTCATATGTTAATTGTCATTCCAGTTAATGTCCTTTACTTCCTTATTTTAGTACATTCAGTTATTACCAAGTTTTACCAAGTTCTACTACATTTCACTTGCTTACACAAGATTTAGTACATTACCATAACTACATTGTAATAAATCACTATAATGCAATTACCAAATCACAGGGACATAAATAAGATTGGATTACTATCAATACACTTCTCCATCAAACATTACCATAACTACAGTGATCACCTGCTTACAATCATATGTTAATTGTCATTCCAGTTAATGTCCTTTACTTCCTTGTTTTAGTACATTCAGTTATTACCAAGTTTTACCAAGTTCTACTATATTTCACTTGCTTACACAAGATTTAGTACATTACCATAACTACATTGTAATGAATCACTATAATGCAATTACCAAATCACAGGGACATAAATAAGATTGGATTACTGTAAGATTGGATTACTGTCAATACACTTCTCCATCAAACATTACCATAACTACATTGAACACCTGCCCTAACCAAAATGAAGAACCTACAACAACCTTAACTTACAACTGCCCTAACCAACTGGTTCTTAAAATACAATGTCAATTAACAAAATTACTCCAATAACCACTAACATCACCAACACAAACTTCAACAACTTGATCACCTGCAGAACACCACTAGCAACAACTTCGTTATAGGGCTCCCTTTCATTAGCATAAAACTTCATCTCTTCCGTGTCAAGCCACTTGAAATATTTACACCCTTTTTTGGTACCCTGCCAACAAAAGCTTCATTTACTAACTTTTGAAAGATAACAAAATGGGAAAACAAAATCCCTCAAATTTACCTTATAGTTAGGGCATGCCTTGAACTTTCTTCCTGGGTTTTTATCAGTTCTTAAAACTGAGTATTGCAGTTGATCACCACAATCACACTTAGTGCGATAAATCGGTTTGCTGATAGAAGTTGTTGAAGACGAAGCCATGGAAAAGAAGAAGACGTGATGTGTGAGGAAGAACGCTTGTTAAACCGAGTGAAGGAGAGGTTTTGGGGAAAAAGTGGATTTTGGGTATGTAAAAGGTTAGGGTAACCTGTTAAACCGACGACACCGGCTACCATTGACTTTTCATAACTAGTCAACACAATTAATGGCAAATAAGTAACAAATAAAAATGATAGGGTTAAATCGAAACGGATATGTATAAATAATGGTTTTTAAGGTATTAACCCTAGAAAGCACAAAATTAAAGATAAACACGTAGTAGAAAGAAGTAATCATGTCACCCAATCAGTTTGGTTCTAATGGGTTATAGAGTTCTCTAATCTCTGTTACTTCAGTGAACCAGTAGGAATGAATAAAATATTTGTAGGAAAATAGGTTTCCATATAGCACTACGTTTATTTGTAAATAAGAAATCAGATATCCTTTCTTTTAGGGATGAACATCAAAACCGGGTATCCGCTTTTGGAACTAAAATCATCTTGAAACTGCAACTGCCTTAAGCGATTCCGGTTCTCATTTCTTCGGAACCGCTACCTGCCGGAACAGGTATATATATATATATATATATATATATATATATATATATATATATATATGTGTGTGTGTGTGTGTGTGTGTGTTACTTAGACCGATATATTGGTTTCATTTTGTCCGTATTTGGTTAACTATATGACGTTGGCTACGAAGTTCTCTTTAACAAAAGAGAAGGAAAAGTTGTTGATCAAAAGAATGTCATTGTTTTTACTACAATTCGACAAAACGACATCTATGTTCTAGATATGTTTTCTGCTGACAACTCTCTTCATCGTTGCTTCTTTTTTCATGCTCAATCTCATCTAAATTGGATTTGGGACAAAAGGCTATCTAATCTGAACTTCAAGAACATTTCGAAGATTGCTAGGAATCAACTTGTAAGAGGAATTCCTAAAGTGCAGTTTGTCAAGGACAAGATCTGCTCAGCATGTGAAAAGGGGAAGAAAACCAAGTCTTCCTTCAAGCAAAAGTCCTGCTCTTCTATTGTCAAAACTCTTCATCTTCTTCACATGGATCTGTTTGGATCAATTTCGGTTAAGTCATGGGATGGAAAGAAATACACTCTTGTCATTTTGGATAAATTTTCAAGGTTTACATGGATTGTCTTTTTTAAGAAAAAAGAGTCATGTCGCTAATGAAATCATTGCCCTCATTAAGTAGTTGGAAGTACTTCATGATCACAAAGTAAGGGAATTACGTATTGATCATGGAATTGAATTTAGAAACTCCTCTCTAAAAGATTTTTGCTCAATCTCAGGAATTTCTCAGAACTTTTTAGCAGTTAGAACTCCTCATTAAAATGGTATTGCAGAGAAAAGAAATAGAACTCTCATTGAAGATGGAAGAACTATGGTCGTTGAAGCTGGTATTCCCTTGTGATTTTAGGTTGAAGCTGTCAATACAACTTGCTTATCCCAAAACCGGTCTATCATTGTTAAGCGTCATGCGAAAAATGCTTATAAGCTACTGAAAGTAAGGAAACCGAACATCTCTTATTTTCATGTATTTGGATGTGTTTGTTACATCTTGAATCAAAGAGATCAACATTCGAAGTTTGAAGCTAAAGCTGATGAAGGAGTTTTTCTAGGTTACTCCAGCATATCCAAGGCTTTCAGGGTATTCAATTTTTCAAGGCAAATTGTTGAAGAAACAATTCATGTTAACTTTGATGAAGACACATTCATTCATGATCCATTCGATCCTCCCTCATCAATTCTGAATGAACTTACTTACAGTCCCTATAATCCTGTTCCTAAGTTTTTACCAAGTGATGTTGAGCCTATTGTACCAAACGTTGATCAATTAATCAGTTCACAACCTATCTCTGAAGATCAGGTTGTCATCTCTAAAGATGTTGAACCATCAAATCAAGATGATTATACTCAAAGTAATACAATCAAAAGTTTAAATCCAAGAATTCTCAGAGATCATCATGAATCTCAAATCATTGAACATGTAAATTCTAGAATTCTTACCCGCAGCGTAGTCAGCAACAACTTCTGCATATTTGTAAATTTTATCTCGATAATTGAACCAAAAAATGACATTGATGCATTGAAAGAGGCTAACTGGATCAAGGCCATGCCACGGATGAGCTGAATGAATTTCAAAGACATCGTATGTGGACTCTTGTTCCAAAACCACAAAGAAAGACTATCATTGGCACTCGTTGGGTTTTTAAGAACAAAATGGACGTGGATGGGATTGTTATAAGAAACAAAGCTAGACTTGTAGCTCAAGGTTTCTATCAGCTTGAAGGTTGGGCTATGATGAAACTTTTACTCCCGTTGCCAGAATTGAAGCAATTCGCCTGTTTCTTGCTTTTTCTTATTTCAAGAACTTCAAAGTTTCTCAGATGGATGTCAAGACTGCCTTTCTACATGGTGATCTTGAAGAAGAAGTTTTTCTAAAGCAACCTCTAGTGTTCGAAAGTGAAGAATTTCCAAACCATGTCTATCGTCTTGATAAAGTTGTTTATGGTTTAAAGCAGGCGTCTAAGACATGGTATGACACATTGGCAAGTTATCTTCTTTCAAATGGATAGAAATGTGGAAAGATTAAAATACTTTGTTCATAAAGAATTTGGGATCCCATATCATTTTTGCCTGAGTGTATGTGGATAATATCATCTTCGGATCCGCTAATGAAAAGCTTAGTTCAGAATTCACAGAGATTATGTCCAGAAAGTTTGAGATGAACATGATAGGTGAACTAACTTTCTTTTTTGGTTTGCAGGTCAAACAACTAACTAATGGTATTCACATTTGCCAAGCTAAATATATTGTAGATATGTTAAAGAAGTACGGATTATCTGATTGCAATCCGACCAAGACTCCAATGTCCTCCTCAGCGTCTATTAGCGCTGATCCAGATGGTGCTGATGTGAATATAACTCTGTTTAGAGAAATGATAGGCTCTCTACTTTATCTTACTGCTAGTCACCCTGACATTATGTTTTCTACTATATTGTATGCTCGTTATCAGACCAGTCCAAAGGAATCTCATCTACTCACTGTGAAAAAGAATCTTTCGGTATTTAAAGCATACACCCATTCTTGGGTTATGGTATCCTCGTGATTCTGAGTTTAAGCTGGTGGGATATACTGACTCCGATCATGGTGGATGTGACATCAATCGGAAAAGTACTTCAGGAGGAGCTCAAATGCTTGTAAATAGATTGGTAAGTTGGTCCAGTAAAAAGCAGACATCAGTGGCTTGTTCTACCGCTGAAGCTGAATATGTTGTTGCTGGAAGGTGTTGTGCTTAGATTCTATAGATTCAGAATCAACTCTTGGAGCATGGTCTAAACTTCTCGAAGATACCTATCTGTTGTGACAACACCTACTTCATTCATATGATACAAAATCCAGTGCAACATTCTAAGACCAAACACATCGACATCCATCATCATTTCATCAGGGACATAGTTCAAAAGGGAAAAGTGGAGTTGTTCTACATCCCATCAAATGATCACCTGGCTGATATTTTCACCAAGGCATTGGATGAAAAGCTTTAAACAAATTGATTGCGGATATTGACATTCTTTTAATGATTTAATTGTTCTAACTTTCAATTTAACATTGCTTTTGTTTGCTTGCTATAAAAACACAAAAAAAATGTTACTTTTATTATGTTTAAAGATGATTCACAATCCTATGCTACACTACAAAGCTACATCACTGATACTATCCTTCAGTTTTGTTCTCATGCTAAGGTCA